AGGAGCACCAGGTCTGTCGTTGGTCATCTCAGCCGTCCGCCAACGCGGGCAAAGCCTCTTCGACCGCCTCTGCCCCATGCGCCAGCTGCGGAGAGGGTCACGAGCGCCGGTTGTGCCGCTTCCGAAACGCAGTCTGACAGACCTGCAACAAATCGGGGCACATTTCCCGGGTTTGCCACTCCAAGGGACAACGCCAGAAGCCGTCTGCCAACCAGACCATGCCGGACCAGCCCATCAACCTCCACACCATATCGGCCCACTTCCCACAACACCAGGTCTGTAACTTGCCCCCCGATGGCCCCAACAAGATGCATGTCACGGTTCTTATAGAGGGATCCCCTTGCAGCATGGAGATCGACACAGGGTCGACCTACTCCATTATCTCTGCGGATACGCTCCGCATGCTGTGCCCGAAGGGAGGCCCGCCCCTTCAGAAGCCACGGGGTTTCCGGTTAAGGGACTTCAATAAGAACCCCGTGGCGGTGCTGGGCTGGGGCAAGTTCCGGGTACAGTTCCAAGACTTTAACGGCACCCTAGACCTGCTGGTGGTGGATAGGCCTCTCTCCAGCCTGCTGGGACTCTCTTGGTTCGAGGCCCTGGGACTCTCTCTGAATGGAATCCACCAGGTCGGGTCACGGGATTTTGATGTGGTGTGCGCAGAATTTCCCCGCATCTTGGATGGCACCCTGGGATGCTTCTCTGGGCCCCCCATCTCCCTGGATGTCGACCCGGCAGTGCGGCCCATTCGCATCAAGGCCAGGCTGCCGCCACTAGCAATGAAGCCTAAAATTGAGGCCAAGCTAGATCGCTTAGTGGAACAAGGGGTTCTGGAACCGGTCACATCGGCATGATGGGAGACCCCCATAGTCACCCCGGTGAAGCCCAATGGGGACGTGCGCATTTGTGCTGATTATAAATGCACGCTAAACAAGGCTCTGCAGGCACGCGCTTATCCGGTGCCGGTGGTGAGCCACGTGTTGGCGGCTTTGGCGGGGGCCCGGGTCTTTGGCGAGTTGGACTTGGCTCAGGTGTATCAACAACTGTCGGTTGATGCCACCACGACTGAAGCCCAAACAATCACAACTCACAGGGGGGCGTTCAAGGTTCACCGCCTCCAGTTCGGAGTCTCGGTTGCGCCTGGGATTTTTCAATCTTTTATGGATTCTCTCCTGAAAGGCATCCCCGGGGTTCAGCCGTTTCTTGACGATGTGCTGATCGCAGCTCCAGACGACTCGTCCTTCGCTGACCGCCTGAGGGCTGTACTACAAAGTTTTGACGCAGCAGGGCTCAAAGTCAAGCGGGGAAAATGTCTCCTGGGGGTGCCTCACGTCGAGTTCCTGGGCTTCGCGGTCGAAGCCTTGGGCATCCACCCCACCGCGGATCCACCATCACGCAGGCGCCGCCTCCAGCGTCCAAGTCCGAACTGCAGGCTTTTTGGGGGCTCCTGAACTTCTACCACTCCTTTTTGCCCCTCAAAGCTGCAGTAGCGGAACCACTCCATCACCTCCTGGACAAGTCGGCACCTTGGGTCTGGGGTCCGCCACAAGCAGCTGCGTTCCAGGCGGTCAAAGACCTGCTCGTCTCGAATGCAGTCCTGGCGCATTTCAATGAGGCACTCCCAGTGGTGCTGGCATGTGACGCTTCCCCTTATGGGGTGGGAGCGGTCCTGGGCCACCGGCTGCCGGATGGCTGTGAGGTCCCAGTTGCGTACTATTCCAGGACTCTATCAGGGGCTGAGCGCAATTATGCGCAGATAGATAAGGAGGCGCTGGCGATTGTGGCGGGGGTGAAAAAATTTCACCACTATCTGTACGGGCGCCCCTTCACGGTCCTCACAGACCACAAGCCGCTGCTGGGCCTCCTGGCCCCTGACCGCCAGACCCCACAGATGATTTCGTGCCTGGTGCTCCGCTGGTCTATTTTCCTGGCGGGGTATTCCTATGCTCTCATCCATCGCCCTGGCAAGGTGATGGGCCATGCGGATGCCCTGAGCCGCCTGCCGCTGCTGGTCTGTGACCCGGATCCTGCTCCCACCCACCAGATCGCTCTCCTGGAGTCCCTTCCGGATCGGCCAGTCCACGTCGCGGAGGTGGCTCGCAGCACCTCCAAGGACAAGGTACTTTGCCGGGTCTTGGACTGGGTGGTGAGGGGATGCCCTGCAGCCAAAGGAGACCCTGACGTAATGCCCATTGCTTCTCGGAAGTACGAGCTGTCTGTCCACAGGGGCTGTGTCATGTGGAGAAATAGGGTGGTCATTCCAAAGCCCCTATGGGAGCGGGTCCTCACCGCCCTTCATGAAGTGCACCCTGGGGTGGTGAACATGAAAGCCTTGGCCCGGAGCAAAGTCTGGTGGCCGGGGATGGACCGGGACATAGAGGACGTGGTGAAGCGGTGCCTACCTTGCCAAACGTCCCGGCCCAAGTCTCCCCGAGCCCCGGAACGGGACTCGGAATCTTCCCACCGCCCCTGGTCCCAGTTACACTTGGACTTTGAGGGACCGTTCCAGGGGCAACTTTTCTTTATCTTGGTGGATTCCTTCAGCAAGTGGCTGGAGGTAGTTCCCGTGCCCTCCACCTTCTCAAAGGCGGCCATCTGGGCAATGTGGCGGATCTTCAGCGCCCAAGGAATCCCAGACACGCTGGTTACAGACAACGAGACGGCATTCACGTCCGTGGAGTTCCAGGAATACACAAGTTACTATGGTATCCGCCACGTCCGGGCGGCCCCGTTCCACCCCTCCACCAACGGCCAGGCTGAGCTGATGGTCAGAACCATGAAGGATGCTCTCCGCCGCTTGGACTCCCCGGACTGGGACTATAAACTGTCGGTTTTCCTTTTCGGCCAGCGAATGACGCCCACACCACTACGGGGCGCAGTCCGGCCAAGCTACTTCTAGGTCGCCGCTTGGCAACCCGGTTGGATCGCCCGCACCCCGACCGGGCCTCGGCAGAGGCACCAGGCATGGAGACGCACGAGGCAGCCAGGGGTTTCTTCCTGGAGGATCCCGTGTATGCCCGGAACTACGCCCGGGGACCAGCCTGGATTCTGGCACGAGTCATACGGGTTAAGGGCCCAAGATTGTATGAGGTCTCGTGTGAAGACAGGCAGATTCTACACTGGCACATCGACCAGCTACGCCGCGGGACGATGCCATTGGACCCCGAGGACTTGGACATGGCCGAGGCCTCGGAGACCTCACCCTAGACCCAACCACCGGCGGCCAAGCCCTGGCCTCTTCCATTGGTCGAACCCGAGTCCCCTCTCCCAGAGATGCCGGGGACGCCGGCACTGCCGCCCCCAGCGCCTTTTCCAGCCAGCTCACCTCCAAGGGCTTCAGGGGTGGAGGCCACAACAGTTCCTGAACTTCGCTGCTCTACCTGCACCAGGAAGTTACCTGCCCACCTGAAGAACTTTGTCTGTGGGTGCATTGCAGACCAAGGGGGGAGGGGTGTAATGTATCCAGTCCAGACCGCGTGGCCTGCTTGGGCTCCACGCGGTCAGGCACAAACGTCGAGCTTCGCTCCAGGAGACAATGGACTATGCGGATCCTAGCCTGCTCCAATCAGGCGGCTAGGTTCCCGGCTGAGAGCCTATGGGACTCTCGGCCACTGTAAATAACCTATTGGGAAGTGGGGTGTGTGTGTTTTCGGTGCGGTTTCTTGGGGAATATAAGCTGGCCTGCGAGCCGGCCAGTTGTCTTGTTCCTGATGGAATAAAGTACACTTTTCTGAAATCACTCTCCGTCTGCGTAGTTTTCATGATCGCTAAACTGGGAGTCTGTTCACCCATGGAACCGACTATTTAACAGCTGCTCTTTCCTTCTGCAATGTTGTGTTTACATCAGGCCTGCAACTAAAACTATTGTTAACTGGCAATGGGGGACTTAAGGACAACTTGTTGCTACTGATGTCACTTACAAAGATTACTGGTGGAAAGTGCAACCAAGTCACAGTTGACCTATGGCAATCCCATAGGGGTTTTCAAGGCAAGAGACATTCAGAGGTGGTTTGCCATTGCCTGCCTTTGCATCACAACCCTGGTATTCCGTGGTGGTCTCCCATCCAATAGTAGCCAGGGCTCATACTGGTTAGCTTCCAAGATCTGATGACATCAGGCTAGCCTGGGCTATCCAGATCAGGGCCTTGCAAAATTAGTAGTGACCAAAAGCAGTTGCTTTTTTCACTTTACTGACAGAAAGCAATATATCCTTTATATATATATCCTTTACTATTTCATTATACCGAATACATATTTTACTAGTCTGCGTATCTGAATTGCTTGCAGTCTTCAGGACAGCTTGTTAACACCAAATTCAACCCAAGTCTCTGAGCACAGAGATTGCATGAGAATTCCGATCCACGAAACTCTGGGTTCAAGAGCCAGGTATACAAGCGACCAGTCATTTCCCGTCCACACATAAGACTGAATGGGGGCTGCAGAGGAAAGATGAAGAAAAGCGGAAGAAGGGAGACAGTGAAGGTGGTAATCTCATACAAACTTAGTTGCAAGTCATCACTAACTGATGTCAGTAAAAATGCTTAGACCTGTGAGTGTGGAGGTTAAAAAATGATATTAGGAGGTGTAATAAAGAAAAGAAAGAAAGAAACATATTGTAGGGAACTTTTAGAAAGTATTATAAAAACAAGACATTCTAAGACAAAACAGTCTAGAGGACACGGGGAGGGGGTCGCACATGCGGACTTTTTCTGCTTGAGGAAGGCGGCGGCCGTCAGCAGGCGCGTGAGGGGGCAGGTAGTGCCGAGCGGCGTGGGGAGGGGCCAGTCCTCTTTGAACTCGACTAGTCGGGCCGGGGCGAGGCGGGGCCCTCCGCGCACAGGGCTGGCGAAGCGGCGAGTGGACGCGACTCGCTGAATTCGCAGTCGCCCCAGCGGCCCCGGGGAGGCTGCACGGTGGTGTGGGAGTCGCGGCGGCGGCGGCGGCGGCGTCGCGCGGCTGGATGGGAAGCAGTGGCGGCGAGGGCGGCTGCAGTGGCGGCGGGCATGGGGGAGCAGCTCAGCACGGAGAGCGCCCCGCCGGAGCCAGCCATCGCCGCCCCCGAGCCGCCTCTGCCGGCCGCGGGAGGTCCGCAGCCGCCGCCGCCAGTGAAAAGCGGAAGGGCACCCCGGCCACAAGGCCGGGAGACGGAGGACGGTGTCGGGGCTCCCCCGGAGGAAGGTCCCGGCTCGGAGGACGAGAGCAGCAATAGCCGCCGGCTCTCCTTGAGGCCCGTCTGTTGCACCGTCTACTGCGTGGAGAGCGACTGGAGGAGGCCCGAGCCGCCGCCTGAGTCCCCTCTGCCGCCGGGCGGGGAAGGAGGAGAGCCCCGCTCCACAGCCGCCCCGCTGCCCTCTCTGCGCGGGGGAGGGAAAGGGGGAGGCGGCAGCATCGAGGTCGACTTGTACCTTCTGCCCGAGCCTTTCTCCGGGCTGATCTCGGGGGACTTTGGCTCCTTGCTGGTGCTGACCTGCCGCGTGTGTCTGGAGGAGAAACCCCTCAAGCCCCTGCCTTGCTGCAAGAAGCCCGTCTGCGAGGACTGCCTGAAGCGCTACCTCAGCTCCCAAGTAAATACAGTTCTCTTCATTCTCCACCCTTTGCTTGTTGTGGCTTCCCAATGCTTGGAGTGGAAGACGCCCTTCGCCTTATAACTAGACGCGCCCTCTTTCTCAAGCGCTGTGCCCTGTCGCCGGCCCCCCACCTCCGCCCGGAAGGGGCTACAAGCGTTGAAGCTTGCTGGCCCTTCTCGCCTGGCTCGAAGGCAATATGTAGTGTGTATTTTAAGTTCTCTCTTTCCCAGGTCTCCATTTAGCTCAGGAAAAGTGAGTTGAGAAATGTTTTCAATGTTAGAATGCTGAACATATGCACAGGGCCTTTCCCTGAGTAACAGTTGCTTACTTTATACCTGAGAGACAAGGTGGATGATGTGATTTCCAGGTCTGAGCTCTGGCATCTCACCAAGAAACCAGTAAGTTTCCCACTCCCCATCTCTCCCTTTTCTTTCTTGTAGGTAGATGCTGAGCCTGTTAAATGCACATCAGTATCTTCTCCTTAAGTAAGATCAGGTCTCTTCCTATTCTGTCTCCCAAGGTAAAATGTCTTCTTTTCTGCATGTGTCCACTAAAGTGCACCAACCTTGTTGCTCCTTTTTGTTCTGTTTTGTGGTTTTTCTCAGTTCTGTTCCTTCTCTGTTTGCCAGTCCCCACTTCAAGGAAGGTTTTTAATCTACATTCCTCAAAGCTTGGGAGGGGGAGGCTACCGGTTGTGTATCTCCCTGCCTCCCAAGAGAAAAACAACAATGATTGCCTCCAAGCCATGTGTCTGTTTAGTGAGAGGAATATCAATATAGCTAATTCTCAGCATGGCCACATGTATGAATATGTAAATCCAGAGATTAAAACCATGGACAGACAAGCTAGATCTTTCTAAAAACTTGAGCAAAGCCCCAGGTTTGCAGAAAATGTGGGCAACCCCCCCTCAAATAATAGAAGTGGCACCTGTAGCTTTAAGAATCTCAATGGTATTGTGTAGCCACAACAGTATTGCTACCATTCCAGCCTTGATTTTTGTCAATAAAAGAAAGGAGAAGAGGTTAGAGGCTTTTCCAGGGCTGTTTTGGCCTTTGAGGGAGGATTCATTGGAGCCAGGTATGGCAGCAGCCACTGGGCAACTGAGTACCATGCGACTTGATGATTAACCCAGGACCAGAGGCTCACTGCTATTCATTAGCAGCCACTTCATGAACACTGTTTTATAGTAGTTAGAGTGTCAGACTAAGATATGGGGAATTCAGGTTTAATCCCCAATCTGTCATGGAAGCTTGCTGGGTGATCCACTGGGCCAGTCTTATCCCTAACCTACCTCACAGGCTACCCATCTTGATCTACCTCACAGGGTTGTTCTGAGTATACAGTGGAAAAGGAGATAATGTTGTAAGCAACTCAGGATCCCTATTGGGGAGAAAATTATAGCTAAAGATGAATAAAAAGTGGATGAATGAGAAAGAAAATAGGAAATGGGGAAAGAGGAGAGGATGTGAGGACTGCCTAGAGGAAGAAATGAGAAACAAGAAGAAGAGAGAAGAGATTGGATTTATACCCCGCCCTTCACTCAGAGTCTCAGAACAGTTTACAGACTCCTTTCCCTTCCATTCCCCACAAAGGACACCCTGTGACTCTCCCAGATTAGAGTCCACGCACTTAACCACTACACCAATCTGGAAAGGGACATGGAGGTGAAAGGGAAGTGCCCCCTCCCCAAGTGTTTGTATGTTCCTTACTTGTGTTGATCTAATATCTGAGTTGGGGCATATGGATTACTAAAGGCAGTACAGTGAGCTGATGACACATCTGCTGTTCAGGAGGAAATTGCCTTCCGTCTACTTCTACTCTATTGCTGTAGGATATAGCAAATAGTAACTAAGTTTGTGTGTGTAGGCAAGCTCTTCATTTTTCCTTCTCAAAATATCAAAGCCAGTGCTAACCCAGTGTGCACAGTCAGGTGAACGTCATATGGTTGGCTGCAATTCTTCACTTAAACAGCATTTCTTGGTATATGTCTGCATAGAGAGTTCACCTGCTGTTTGTTGTTTCTTCTTGATTCTCAAGGTACATTGTGTGTCCACATCAGAGCCTGTTGTACAGTTGGAGAGGGCAGAAATCAGTACAGGGATAATATATTAGATTTCTTGTCCACAGAGGCTGCCACAAACTGCTTCAAAAGGCAAGTTTGGCATCTGCTTACAAGTAGGCTGAGTCACAAACAGGCAGATATTTCTGTTTATTTGACAAGCTTGAAAGGGAACATTATTCTCCAAAATGCCTATTAGACAGCTGGAGGATCATAGTTGGTAAGGTTGCTAATACCTTCTATAAGGCATTCATTTTCCCAGTATAAAAATAAAAGCTGAACCCTAATTAGGAATACAGCCTACCATAAATAGCATTATCTGTTTCCAGTAAAGTCTAGTACACATCCCAGGGTGAACAGCTACTATCGTATCCCTCTGATTATTATTTGTCATTTATATGGCATGTCTAACGGACAAAATGACTTGAGATCCTGGTTATGTGCACAGCAACCCTGTAAGGTAGGTCACTGTTTACCATTTTAGTGGAAGAGGTTGAAAAAGAGTGTCCTGCCCAAGAACATGTGGGAAGCCCTTGATAAGGGCTCATCTGGACATGACGGGATCCCTGCTCCTCAGCTCTGGTGCTACCTGGCCTCCTGTCTTCCTCTCCCTGTGCCTTTTCCATATCTCCTCAGGTGGGGGGAGACCAGCTGGGTCTCCGCCAGCTGGGGCGCTGTCAAGTAAGCTTGCAAGATTGGGCTCTGTGGCATTTTTTAAAATCCCAGGCATAAAATGGTCATATCCACTACAGGGGCGCTGTCATGTCTAGTTGAATCCTAAGGTGGGTCTTGATCCAGACCTTGATGTTGAAGTCAGGTGTTTTGTTCAAGGGACCACACTGGCCCTCATTTTCAGAACTTTGGAGCTAAAACAAGTATGTCTACTTGGTGGTCCATGTTGTACTTAGAGGGTCTGTGGCTTGTAGGGCTGTTTGACTGTGTTATGGCCAAGGAGCAGGATTAGATTACTTTTAAGTAATTTTGGTTTTACATATTGTGGACTCACTTGATTGTCTTAGAGATTTATACCCTGTTTATCTCTCCAATGGGAGCCTGAAGTGGCTTATACTGTGGCTCTCCTCTCCATTTTCTCATCACAACGACAACCCTGTGAAGGAAGGAGACTGAGTATTTTTGTGGCTTGCCCAAGGTCACCCAGTCAGTTTCCATGGCAGAGTGGGGATTCAGAATTCCTTCTCCCGGGTCTTTCCATCTGCCACTTTGTTCTGTGATCAGTTCTCCGGCTAAATACTTCTGTTTCAGCTGCAGATGCTTTTTTTCTTCTTTGAGTTTTGAATTTTATAGTTTGAGAGCAAATTCAGGTTTTTCAAGTCTGCTGGAATGTGAACAAACTGATAGTATCTAATCATAATACACTTCCTTCTTTTCTTGAATAAAATTTCCCAGATCTGACTATCCAAATGCCATAGAGACCAAGGTAACTGCAAACCATGAGTTGTATAATAGCTTTGTTATTTATGTTCATTCTGTTGTCATAAACAGTGCTGAACATTTGTATAGCGCACTGTGGAAGGTTTCACATGCATTGTCTTGCATCTTAGTGCTGAAATAAATTAGTAGTATAAACTACTAAGAATAATATGGAGAACCAGTCTACCAGTATTGGACTAGGAAGACCCAGTTTCAAATCCCCACTCTACCTACCTCACAGGGTTGTTATGAGGATAAAATGGAGGAAAGGAAAATGAAGTAAGCTGCTTTGTATCCCCACTGGCGATTAAGGTGGGGTATAATTTAAGTATATAAACCCATGTTGTGGATCACTTGTGAGCTCCAGTGTTGCAGGGAATTGTATTTCTGTTGCTTACTAGTCTGAGGGAAGAACCAGGCAGTGATGGAAGAGATTTGCCTATAGACAGCGGTTTCTGTCTATCAGAGGCCAGACCTGGTTTTTAAGCTGGTTTTCCCAAACAACTCATTTTAAGGAAGAAGAAGGAAACAGAATAAAAACAATATTCTCTTTACAAGATGATTCAGTGTGTATGTGGAGGGAAGAGAAGCAGGAACTGTTGCTTTCCACTGTTATCTGCTGAAGGCGATTTGTACCTTTGCGAATGTCTTTGAATGCCAGGACAAGAGTAGAGGTGTACCTGTTGCTTTTTTGTGTGAGGGAGATGAAGAGAGAATGAGTGAATAGCCTTTGCATGATGTAGGAGACCATAGATGGTAGTTTTCAGCAACTTAAGAATCAGTTGGAAACCTTTTTTAGATTTCAGATCGCTGCTTTGGAAGCTTGTTTTATGCTAAATGCCATAGCAGAATTCTGCACAGCGTAGGCAAAGATATTGATTATAGCTAAGTACCCCTTTCGTCCCATGTAAAGGCTCTTCGTTCTTAAACCATAGAGTGTTCAATAGTTCCAATGAAGTAGGATCAATATGATAGCTGACAATTGAAGTCTTCATCTTAAAAATTGACTTGGATTGAATGGAGGTTATAGGGATTCTTATACAGGTTTAGATACTGGAGGATTTGTGCTCTAAAGCACTGTGTAATGTCAGCAGCTCTATAATATGATGTTTACGGGGCAAAGTGACCCACATAATCTTTTGCATAGTTGAGTTCATGGATCCCAGTCATGCGAAGACTGGAACAAATATTTATTTTACTGGGTGTGAACAACTATATAGAGTTATTTGTAAGAAAGGCCGGCTGCCTGTGTAAGCATTTGTTAGATGATTCCTTAACTTTTCATAATTAGTGTTTACTTAGTGATCTTACGCAGAATGAAGTACATAATATTTCACACGTTTGGTAGAAGGATTATGCCAGGTGGGTAGGAAGGAAGCAGATGACTCTTTCATCTGTTCTGACGCCAAGTTGTAGCAGTCACTCACTTCACACTTCAGCCATGCGCTCAGTAAAGAGAAGCACTTGGCCAGGGAGCAGGGAAAATGTTTTGCATGACATCACCCTG